CCAAAGGCATAACACTGGTGACCCAGTTCAGGATCGGGTGATGACTGAAAATGTCAAAAATGCCGCTTCGCAACAATCTGCGAATGATCCAGAGTTCTATCATTTTTATGTGATATGGCTTCACAGAACAACACAAAGGTACTACCTTGTGTTGGAAACTGTATCTGACATACTGCTTCAATGATACATTGATTCATGAAACAGAACAGAAATCACAGCAAGATAAGCCTCAGTACAGCAGCTTATTTATTAATTTGTTAACGTGCAACATGCGAAATAACTCAGTGCAATTGGAAATGTAGCTCGTCAATGGTATGCGGGCACGCACAGATAATATCAAAACATACACGTCGGAACTGTCAAAATTAAGAAATTGTTGAATATGAAGTATTACTTTTCATTTGTAATTCTTGTAACATAAACAGTATTGTGAAATCTTTAACTGTATTGAAATATGTCTTGTCAATCCTATTGACATTCGCCAATAACCACTTCCAAATAACATATATAGTCTATGCTGCTTCAGAACAAATAAAGGTCAATTAGGGAGCCCCAACTGGGTAATTAAGGAAAGAAGTCAATACACTGTCACTTCCTGCCCAAGACGTCACCACTCAGGAGCTAAGGGCCTTGTCAAACCTTCTCACAAAGGAAAAAAAAGCATCAAAACTGCCCGATTTCAGTATGTTGCATGACTACATTGTCCTTCAAGCAGAGAGTGAATGAATTGACAATAGTTGCCGCATCGTGGAACTGGCTCACGTGAATGATTATCTTCATCAGCTGATGAACGTCGACAGTACAACGTCAGCTCTAAGATATTGATAGCCCTGACCTAGATGAACATTACCAAGTCGGCTGTAGTCAACTGCATTGTTCCAACAGACATTATGAAGCCACCTGCTGAGTTCAGCAGAGTGTGTTTCAAATGAAGGACATCTTCTGCTTGCTTAGATCTATATATTTATTTTACGAAATACGAATGCTAATATTACTAGGAGATTAGGTTTTGTAATTGCGTTTCCATCCATGTAAGAACCACATTCGCTCTGTATCGCTGGGACCTTTACACATGCCAGTAGTCTGTCTCATACTCCAAACTTTCGGCCCTACCCTTCATGCAAAATGAAGCCAGTCTGGACTCTCACTGGTTCTGAATCTCCGAGCTCACTGGGGCTAATTCGAGTATCTATTTCTATCAAAATTTCCTATTATCAGAGACTTACGCTTTGTATAACGTGCCAGGATGCTGTAATTATAGGATCCTAACATGCCAGGATATGCTTATTGGTTTTTCAAGAGCATATCTATATTTCTAATTTCTACTACATTAAACAACTGTTGTTAGATCCAATATGAAACTTGCACGCTGTGTAGCCTATTTTTGGCATTGGTTTTGTGCGTGTTTTTGTTTATTTGTTTTTGTTGCATTTGTATGGGCTGGGGCTGTTCAAGATGAAATCCACCGAAGCAGGATTGATTGATTATTTTCTCCCCTAACGCAGTGAGTATGCGAATTAAGTGACCTACTTTTGTTTGTACCATAAGCTCACGGTTTTCCTGGTGACTTGATTGTGTGTGTGCGTGCGTGCGTGCGTTCGTCAAAGGCAATCAGTAGTAGTGAGTTGAAATAAATCAATGTCAATCAATAAGCAAACAAATAATTAGTGAATTAAAATCAGTGTCAAAGGCAATCAGTTAGTAGTGAGTCTGCCCCGCACTTAAAAGAGCAAGGGAGCTCATTGGCTAAAAATATATTATGTCCCATCAAATCGCTGACTCTTTTAAGTGCGGGGCAGGTTAAGGCCAAGGTCGTCAATGCGAACGGGCACGATACAATTCTGTTTGCGATGAATAAATGTACGTAAACTCATTATGACAGTGAAATGTAAGTGTCTCCGAAAGAATGGCGACTAGCGCGCTGACAGGCGCAATCAGTTCAACATGTTTTGGTGCATGTCGTTTGTGTATACTGTGAAATAAACAAGAAAATGGATGAGTTACCGCTACAAATTCTGAGCAGGCATTTAGGCTTGGAATCGAGAAATCACGATTTTTCTAGCTTCCGAAGACCCTAGCTCCCAAAGTACTGCTTCGATTTAGTGCTGTATGTCTTATTTTGTAGGTAAATCTATTGGCTTGAAATGTGTGCATACTTTAAATGGGATAAATACAGTGAGTATTGTTGAATTCGCCCTGAAACGAACCTGGTGTGTTGACTTCACTACATCCCTTTCCTTTTTATATAGTACTAAGACCCGCCAGTGACAGTATATACCTTGATGGCAGTTTTAGCGTTACAAGCCCCTGTGATTGAAACCAACCCCGGCCCACTTACTTTGGAAGACGTGAGAGATTGCTTCATACCTGAAATACGTGACGTCAAATCAGATTTATCCTTACTGATCACTGCCTTAAAACTGAAATGATATCAATCGGATCGAGATGTGATCAACAGCTTGAGAAGTCAGTGACAGATATAAAATAAGATATCGACGCCTTCAAACATGAGTATGGCAACATGTATTCTGATTTTGATGCCATGATCGACATGTATTCTGATCTTTTACCATTATCGACGCTGAGCTAGATAACATGGAATCTTTAGCCGTCGAGACAACGTCATCATACACGGTGTACCGGAAGCTGAAGGTGAGAAATCAACGGCATGTAAGGAAACTGTTCCTAATCTCATCACCAAGCTCCTAACGTTCAAAACGTGGTAACCAATTGACGTTAGTCGAGACCATCGTCTTGGGCGTAAGAGTGGCGATTCAACTAATCCACGCCCGATAATTGTCCAAGGTGCAAGTGTCCAGATGACGGAGTTAGAGCACTGAAAGCCAGGTCTGCGCTGAAGGAAATAGATATATGTTAATTCCTGTGATCTAACTACACGCCAACGTCAACAACTTCAAGATCTGAAAGAAACTGGCCAGTTTGGTTACAACGTAGAGGTGACGACCGTCAACCACTTACAAGTAGTGTATCTGAATAGGACGGCGGCCAAGGCTCGAAATTTACATCACAAGGTCCTCTAAGCAATGAACCAGATGATAATCGTCATTCGCTTAATCATATTGCCCCTCTATGAGGATATGTATAACAAGAAGTCTTCTCTTGTTCCGCCTCTTGGTATAAGAGTGGAACCTTTCCTTTCTGATGCTGGCATTGAGCTAGAACATATAGCGCCTTCCTGTCTGCTTTCTTCTCCTCCTTGGCAATTGGTTTAGGCCACAAAGTCGACCTAACACTCACTACATTTAAACAATCCAAAACTTATGAATTGCAATATAAACATGAATATAATCAAGTAAAAAGTAAATATAATACATATAAATCCTTTATTACAGATCGATCCAAGGATGGTGGTGCAGTGGCTTGTGCCACTGTCATTGGATCCAGAACAATATCTTTTCGATTACCAGATCACAGCCCACTTTTCACAGCAGAAGCTAACGCCGTATTAACAGCCTTAAAATATATTCAAAAACAGCCTAAATACAAACAATATATACTCTCCCAAAAAAGAAACGCATCATGAAAATAGCAATTTCATGTAGCAATGAATTAACGCGAGATTCATTTTACAAAAGGTTTTGCTCTGTTTATGAGTCCTATGGTGTTTATCTTTTGAAACATCACAACAAAACGCACCATCCGTAAAATACCCGTACTTAACAGCATGATTTTCAATTTCGGCGTGTAGTGTCACAGAATACACAATTCACATGCGATGCACATGAAAGTTGGGGATCAGATAGTCTCAATGATAGGTATAAAAAGGTTGATCGCTGTCTGTCGATTATTCACTGTATTTGGAATATTGTTGACGAACGCAAAATGCCACGTCTAAGTGAAGCCAACCGTCATATCGCCATTGGTTTGCTTGAAGCTGGCCAGTCTCAACGTGCAGTTGCCCGACGCATGAATGTTCACCAAAGCACCATTTCACGTCTCTGGGAGAAATATCGCCGCAGAATGCGGTAGCAGATGCCCTCGTAGTGGGCGGTCTCGAGCGACCACTACAGCGCAGGATCGCTTACATCCGGGTACATCACCTGCGTCATCGAACAGCTACGGCGACCAGTACCGCTCGACAAATACCCGGATTGAGAAGGCTTTCTGCACAGACCGTCAGGAACAGGTTGAGAGAGGCTGGTATACGTGCCAGAAGACCTTATTTTGGCCCTGTGCTTCGAAAACAACATCGTCGACATCGAGTTCAATGGTGCACCAACGTCCAGGCCTGGAACCTACCGAATTGGCCTAAAATCTGGTTCAGTGATGAATCACGATTTCTATTGGAACGACGCTATGGAAGAATGCGGGTTTACAAACGTCGACGTGAACGTTTCGCCGACGCTTGCGTTCCCCAGGTGGACAGATTCGGCCGGGGAAGTGTTATGACGTGGGGAACGATCACCTGCCGTAGACGAAGTGATTTGGTGATGATCCAGGGCAACCTGACAGCCCAACGGTACTGTGTAATCCTACGCCCACACTTCCTTCCAATCATTGATCGCCAGAGGGAGTTGTTTCAACAGGACAATGCCAGGCCCCACACAGCACGTCACACTAGAGACATCAATGTGCTCCCCCGGCCCTCAAGATCACCGGACCCGATCGAACATCTGTGGGATGCCCTGGACAGACGGGTGCGACGCCATAACCATCAGCCCCAGACACTTCAGCAACTCGCACAGGCACTACACTACAGGCAGAGTGGGCTGCGATTGGGCAACACGAGATTCTGAGACTTGTTCGTTCGATGCCGAGGCGATGCCTTCCAGTTCTGGATGCCCACGGTGGTGACTTCAGCGCCACCACACGTCTCCATGTGACACTCAAACTGACTTTCCTCGAGTTGGTGACAAAGACGGATAAGTCCGCATTCCCAGTGTGCAATTTCGCTATATTTCATTCACTCAAAAAGCCTACAAGATGGTTCAAAATAAACATAAAAATACAGTTGAAATTCCTATATGCGTTTCTTTTTGGGAGAGTATATAATCTATTCAGACTCTCTTTCGTGCCTTCAGGCTAAATCTTTCTTGCAAACATCCACTTTTAATTGAAATTATTGAATTATATAATGATCTTGCTACTGGCCAATGCGACATCGTCCTCTGTTGGTTACCCAGCCATGTTGGTCATTCTGGGAACACAATGGCCGATCTTGCTGCTAAGGCAGCACTCAACAAATCTGTGACACCACTTCTTATTCGATACACTGATTACAAAGCTGTCGTTAGGTCTTACATCTGTGATCTAATGCAGAAGAAGTGGGACACCCAAGTAGGTATAACTAAATTACATGCAATAAAACCCTCTATCGGTTACACCTACTTGGGTTGTCAGTCCGGATTTGAGGATTTCATTATGCGACGATGTCGCATGGCCATACTAGATACATACATGATTATTTGCTTAAAGGTGAGGATCCTCCGTTTTTCTATCCTTTGTGATGAGATAATCACGGTCAAGCATGTTAGTGTGAAAACAGTAAAGGGCCTTTTTAATAACGTTAAGTATCATTTAATTATTGTTGTTTTTTAAAAAGAAATTGAACTGATTGAAATTTTTTGATAAATTTGTTTTGTAAATCAATAAATGACATCTTATACTCGCTAGATTAAATTGGCAAAGATTGTTAGTGGATGTACCCTGAAAGGGGGTTAAAGTATTATAAATACATAGAACATCATTATAGTGTATTTGGATGTTTGTATTGAACAAGAAGATGTCATGGGAGCACAGAAACAACGAGTTTATTTTTCAAACGTAAGCTAAGATCGGTGGACAATAATAAGTGCTTTAACATAAAAACCTACTGGGAAGGCTCGCAATGTTTGTTCCTAATGCATAATATTAACCAACCCAACACACACTCGCGCGATAACCTATATTATATTAATTTCCTCTGATGATCAAGATTTAATTTTTGATTCATGACATTCTTTGCAAAAAGTGTATTATGTCAATGTTAATATCCATCAAAACATTTGAGAAACACAATTTTGTTTTAAAATCAACTTAGTCTAATAGTCTCAGCTATGTAAATATGTTTATCCATCTGTTTAAAGAAAGGCTGTCTGATACTTAGCACAATCATCGCAGTCCTTTTGTGTTATTATAAACAGTTCAAATCACTTCTTGATATCGATAAGTATCTATCTTATGAGTGAGTGAGTGAGTTTAGTTTACGCCGCACTCTGCAATATTCCAGCTATATGGCAGCAGTCTGTAAATAATCGAGTCTGGGCAGACAATCCAGTGATCAATAGCATGAGCATCGATCTGCGCAATGGGGAACCGACGACATGTGTTAACCAAGCCAGCGAGCCTGACAACAAACCACCCCCCACCCCCCGATCCCGTTAGTCGCCTCATACGACAAGCATGGGTTACTGAAGGCCAAGGTGAATTTAGTCCAGAACAATAACCTTGATATTATCAGGTATGTTTCTATTTATTTACATCATGTCAGAAATATTTAAGTCGCAAAAGTTAGGTAAATAATCATGTCCAAGGAAATAAATAATTATCAATGTAGGTATTCTGGGCCGGAGGCCTCTTACTAAAATAAACATGTCTGTCTGTCAGCCTATCATATGCTCAAACACATCATGGTGTAATTCGAAAGTAGCAAAGTTGATGTAATGCAATAAGACAGTTTTAGGTAGTTATCTTTCACTATTGCTTAAATATAGTTTTAAACTTCTGTTAAAATATACAAATACATCAATACATTTTCAGTAGCTATTTAACACCATACATATACATCACACCTGATTGATACGGAGACTACAATCGTATGTGCTCTCATATTTGCACAATTACTGTCATGGCAAAAATCGTACAATCAATCCCAACTGCCTGAAATGCCATCAACATTGTGTATCTTTTTTAATCGCAGAATATGTGTTGTTTTATTATGGCTAAATATCAGTATAATCGCCACTGGCTGAAGGGAGGGTATAAATCCACCTAGGGTCCATGCAGGTAGCCAAAGTACTGTAAGTCCCCATGGTCCCTAGAGTGGTGATCTACCTTCAGTTGTTGGCGATCTGTAGCCTGTTTTTATATTGTGTTGTCCCCTATAGATAAAATGTTTTAGATTTACTTACTAGTTTTACATGTATATCCGTGATATTCTAGTTGTTTAATATAATTATAAACTGTTCTCGTCAGAGTATTAACTCACTCACTCACTCACTCAACATTGTGTATAGTGTTACTTATGAGCCCTTGACTAGAGTAATATATAACCTTTTATGCGTTTACACAATCAAATTGAAAACCTGACGCTTGCTTAATTGAATCAGAAACAGTGTGTGCATTATTGTGAAAATGGATGCGTATGAAACATCCATCAGATGTAGGTTGACAGAGCCGGCCTATATGAACACTACTACGCCAGCTGTCGTTCTTTTCACAATGAACGTTAAAATGTCCCGTGATTACGTGTCAATCGAGCGACTACCTACAGAACTCAATATTTCGCTTATCAAGGAATTCGTTCACGGCAGGGACTGTATTCATAAACTGATGAACGTAAAGAATACAACTTCACTTCTAAAGAATAATTTTGAAATAAAACATAATGCATAACGTTCCATGACTCACCAGGTGCAAAATTTACACTGATGAAACTGATAAGACTTCACAAGTGTGGACCGCCTCCGTGGTGTAGTGGTTAGAGCTTCCGCACGGAGAGCGGAAGGTCGCAGGTTCGATCCCCGACCGCGTCATACCAAAAGACGTTAAAATATGGTATTTGTTGGTCCCTGCCTGGCGCTCGGCATTAATGGGTACAGCAAGGACTGGTCGGCTCGGAGTCAGTATAATGTGTCTGAGTGGGGTATTCATGCTTCACTGCGGCATGGTAACTGCAGTGTGGAACACAGAGTTGTCATGTTGAAATGTTAGTCCAGGGCCCACTTGCACAGAGCAATCTTAGTTACAATCAATCTTAGGGCCTTACAATCAACTTTACAATCACCATACAATTGCCCTAATCCACTTGCACAAAGCCGATCTTAGAGCGATTGTAAGACGGCGTGTATTTAAGATCGCGATCTTAGTTAAGATCGAACTCTTCAACGGTGGTGGTACGAATTTCTTAAACTCGACTCCCGTCTACAGTTGTCTCAAAGTGCGCATAGCATGCTGCGCAAATAAAAAGTGATACTGGTCCCAGCACACAATACATACCTCCCTCAATCGCACCTTGCAGAATTTTCATGAAAAAGTCCGAGAAATCTTAGAAGGGACCGATTACGTGGACGATAGCATATATTTTCTACATTCTAACTGTCTTGATTTATGAACTGAGAATGTGATATTGCAACCACAGAAATACCTACCCATGTTTTATGAAAATACTGAAATACGAAAAATACATGAATAAATTTGGATCTAGATTTAGTGACTTAATTATGGAACTTAAAATAACAAATATAAACAGTTTTTCCTTATGATATAACACCTAAATGTATGATTTGCCAATGGTTGTCAATGAGACGTTGTTTAATACGCAGCTGTTGGGGGGAGGGGGGAGGGTAAAATCCTAAATATAACCTAGAATAAAATACAATAAAACAATGGCTACAGAAGTGTTGTAAAGAATGCTTGGCAGGGAAATACGTGCATTAAATAATATTTCAAGAGAGTAGTTATTAAATACGTATTCACAGTATATTAATTATTTAACCCTATTGCGTTGATTAATATTTTTCTTAAAGTGAAATTCTTTTGAAACAGAAATTTTTAATACCCCATCATGTGTATATCCCTATTTGATGACTACTTGTATATATTTAAATTGCATAATCAAATTTAGATTTATGGATGAGAAAGAAACTTGATTTTGCACGTTAACTTGTATCTAATTGTAGATTACTTTAATGATAAACTAAGACAAAATCACTCCATGACCGAAAAGAGATATCAGTATGTTGACTGTACGGCAACGGCATATGCCAAGGGAAACCACTCCCATCTTGCGTATAAAGTAAAATTATCTGCTCTTGAGTTAATGAAAAGGTCACGGCCATTGTTAATCGCACGCGGACACCATTCGCTATTATCCTTTCCTTGATTATCAAGAAGGTATGTTGTTTCACACTTATTCCAACATTGAATCGGGTGGGAATAGTACTATGTGATGTCGACTCGATAGTTATGTGTTTCACTACAGTAAATAAAAATGTACCCGACGTTAAATCAGTTGTGCATTCTCCGTGTTGTTGAAATGTCGAGGCGAACCACACAGTTTCATGCAATATAAATGCAATCTCCAAACGTAAAGCTGATTATTTGCGTGAAACAGACACTAATTTGAATGCCATTTCTAAAATGATCTTAGCTCCTTACAATTGGTCCGGACCAATTGTAAGTTTCGATTGTAACTTACAATAATCTTAGCCTACAATTGCTTTGTGCAAGTAGATGGCGATTGTAACCGAAGCCTAAGATCGCGATCTTAAGGATTTACAATAATTGTAGCGCTAAGATCGTTGCATGAATAGCAGAAGTACTGACGTCAATCTTGGTGCCATTGTCGTAATGCAGGAAGATTACCATGATTGACTATCAACTGAGATTGACCAATGGCACGAAATGCTCTCCAGACCATTACGATGCCCTCTCAAAATCGGTCAGCCTTGGGAACACTGTTTGAGGTAAATAGTCGCGAAGATGAAGTAACCGCATTGTACGTCATCTTGGTGACACGTCACAGGCACACACCGATGTTGCTACAGGACATCCCTTCATCATGCATGTCAATAGCCTGCCATCGTGTCTTTTCTGAAAGTCTAGGCTCTTTCATGTCAAGCATACTTAATTAATTGTACTGTTGTGTTTTAAATCTGTTGAGAAGACTGCACTGCATGTACTGCAATGTGAACGTTTATCTGAGGTACGATATGCACAACAGTATTCTATAGCTATTTATACACATGGTATGTATAATATGTGTAAAATAACGTTTACTAGAACATATCACAGCGAACAGAACACAAATAACGCAGAATATTTCATGTTTCGTCTGATAACAACGTAAACATGGATCAAAAGCATAACTTTGAAACCCGTAGCAAATGCATCCCATTGGGATAATCGCTTCTTGTATGTTTCTTGCAACAGTCAAACATGGGTGTGTATATATCTTTATCTTTGATTAAAACATATATATTATTTTTCTTTCGTAATCCTTTCCCCATGACATAAATTTCTCATTCAATTTTAGAATAAATCCGCCTTTTAGTTCACACTGCCACGTCGGGCCTATGTGCAGTGAACTGAACTGAACTTTATTTAGACTCTGGCCACGTACTGCGACATTAGAAGTACAAGGATACATCATAATACACAACTTAAATACATGTATGAACCATAAAGTAGGCATATATACATATCGCTTGGTTGCAAGAATAAACTGTCTGTACATTTAACCAGTTAAATAACCAATGTTACACTCATGCCTTATTAGTTATCTTTTGTGGGGGCGTTGGTTTAAATGAGACATTATTATTTTGTAAAATATTGCTAATTTCCTAATTGTTCCCAGTTTGTTAGAGTGAAAATTTGGTTCAATTTGTGCATGTTCGGGTTTCTACAGAAATAGTTGTTGTTATATTTTTTTCCTTTCTTGGGCCAAGGAAGGGCAAATATATAAAAGTGAAATTAATCTCCAATACGGTTTGCATTACAGAGAGTACGTTATCTTTGATTGGGGTCTTCTCGTTCACCCAGCAGCTTAGGGGATTAACAGTTATGCTTGATTGATTGTACAAATACCGTTTTCTCTCTCTCTCTCTCTCTGTAATATTGCCGATGTGACGATAAATATTAAGTCACTCACTCATAATAATGCACACATCAGGTTTTCAATTTGGTTCTATGTAACAGGTTCTATATCACTCTGGTCAAGGGCTTATCAGTAACATTATACACGATGTTGATGGCATTTCAGGCAGCAGCTGTGATTGATTGTTCGATTATTGCCATGACAGTAATTGTGCAAGTCTTACAGCACATACGACTGTAGATCCCGTAGGCATCCGGTGTGTTGTGTATGTATGATTTCATATAGCTACTGAAAATGTGTTGATATATTTTAAAATAAATTAACAACAGTTTAAAACTTTAAACGCAATTGTGAAATTAATATTTACCTAAAATAATTTTATCACATAAAGTCAAATTTGCTACTTTGTACCATGATGGATTTGAGCATATGACGGACAGGTTTATTTCATTAAGAGGACTCCGTCCCGGAATACATACATTGATAATTCATTTCCTTGGACATGAATAGCAATATAGCAATAATAAATTAAAATTACATGCCAGTTATGATTCTTTATCTCTGGTAATATAATTGTTTTAATGTCCTTTGTCGACTGATTTGATAATGTAACACCAGATATTGTCAATGTATAACTTGTTTGAGTCATGGCACGGCTGAAATATTGCTGATGTGACTATAAATCTTAACTCACTCACTCACTCAGTACCAATAAGGCATCCCCACTGTATAGCATGATGGCCAACAATGCAAGTATATACATATTCATTCACCATACCAACTATCCAACGAGTTTAATGAATTAAAGGTCGTGAGAACAAACGGTGTCCATAATGACTTTTAATTGTTGTTTTTTTACAGATGTTCAACATGAAACGTCTGACCTTGCTTGTCCTTCTAGTCTACACATGCCTGTTTGCGTTATGGGGCAGTTATGACTGGTAAGTATTGTTATGTGGCAGTATTATAAGTTGTTCACTGGTCTCGAGGGGAGCATGGGTTGATATACCCTCGATGTTTGTTTAATGATCTCTTGGCGCAGATCAGGAGAGTGCCCGGGTTCTCCACTGAGAGAACGGGGCTTCTGACCCTCTGGGTAATGCAGAAGGCTGCAGTGTTGGACAGCCTACATATTCTCTGTAAAGTTCTTGATGGGTTCGACTTAACCTCCCAAAACCCCTACATCCCATAACCCCTACAGCTTATAGCAACAAAGTTAATGGTCCAGTGCACTGCTAATATCCTGCCTATTACCTATTTCAACACTTAGCAATTGAGAGAATGATTTTAATGAGTAATAACCACACTAAGAGTTTGAGAGAATGGTTTTAATGGATAACAAAAATAGTTTAACAAAAGTTTAATGTTAAATTAATATTGAACTTGAGGTTTAATTCTGGGCTGTAGGGCTTATGGGATGTTGGGGTTTTCTGAAAGAGCTTGTTTTGGAGACACTGCCCAACCCCTTTCAGATAACGTAATCAGAAGGACATAACTTATTCTCATGTTTTCACGTTTTCATACATAGGGGTGGGTATTGCAGAGAATTTTCATATTGCGATATATTGCGATGCGAAAGCATATATTGCGATATGTGTTGCAATATGTTGCAAGATGGGTTTTTTAAGACAATCCTACTTATAATCGAATTAATGCTTGATTTATGAAGCAAAACCACAACAAAATCACTATGATTGATTAACCTTAATAAAAACTTTTAACCATGACAAAGTAAAAATGTAAATAATATTTGGCACAAGTGAAACAAGGAAAAGAACAATTTAACTTCGACACAGTGTTAACTAGTTTGAACTAGTTCCTACACTGTCCAAAAAAGCCCTGAGATTTTAGACAGCAACTTGACCTGGTCAGGACATATCAGAGATCACTGGTCATAATTGAGTACATATATACTGAATGGTCACACAAATGTAAGCTCTCAATATATTGTAAACAGTACCAGCTTGAATATCTGGACACAGTTTTTGAAAGATTAAAATGGGAGTGTCCTTGAAAAACAGCCCTTGTCTAAATGTAAATCAAACAATCCAAATCTTTGAATGTTGATTATGAAGGGTAGTCATCCAATACTATACTGAACATATTTTATATGACATTATCTGAGGGCATGCCATTATCCAAGAGGTGTCAATTGACAGATCGTTTTTCATTTTTTTGCAATTTCTTAAAGAAATACTAACCAACCCCAATGTGTTGTGATATGTGAAATATTGGATATGGTCTTGCTAATAATTTCTTCAAAAAAAAATAAAAGCTTTTCAAACATTGGACAGCGCGAATATAGTTTGGCTGACTACTTCATGAACGCCCCTCGTATGTACCACCCAAAATCGTCTCAAATTATTTATCTCAATTTACTATCTCCAACACTATTACAACTGATATTATTACGATTTGCAAAATCTGTTCACTCATTATGTACATCAGGAAGCTAAAAAGACTAGTTCAACATCTAATTCATCTCAATTATTTAAAATGAATTATCAAAACCCGAATAACAACAGCCCAATCTCAATCCCTCCTCATCTGTATACTCTGTGCAGCTCACACTGTATACTCCAATCTGTATTCTCTCCTTTGGGTCAGTTCATTATGCCAGACAGGTAAATGTCGTGTGTTGTTCTAACTAATTGTGGGGGTACTGGGCCGTAGGGATACTGGGCTGTAGGGCTTTTTGGGAGACAACCGGGTTCGCATAGACAGTGCTTCCTGGGAGAAGTCACAATCACTGTCTGGAATGCGTGCAGATAGACCAAGGATACCTGTGCCTGAACCATCCAACCTCTCTCTGCTGCATTTGATCTAAATCTGTACAAGATGAAGTAATTTAATCTCACTATTTTGAATTGTAATACACTGTATGTTATCCTAGTTTCAATAATTGCATTCAGGGGACATCCATTTTTGTTATGAGGCAGAAATACTGTTACGCTTTGACTTTGAGCTATTGAAATGTATGATGTCGTAGTTTCCTTTTGGTGCTTGATATATGTTGTTTCGGTATTCCCGTACCTTTAGAGAATATTTCACCAAGATCTGAAAAGAATCATAGTTGGTACAACCTAAGCCTGCAATGAAGGGGGGTTAAAACATAAACATTTTCAAAGATAAATAAAGCAAGAACCAACAATGTTACTCACGAAAAAGACAAACTGTTAATACACACAGCTGTTATTGTTACGGTAGAACTATTATCATTAAATTTCATTCATGGCATGTTGGTAAAAACAAAATGGCTTTACTAAACAGTTGTGGTTAATGTGCCAGTGTTTGTTTGAAAGACCCTGGATAAATGCAATCATACGTGGGAGCTGCTAAGAAAAGTCACAAGCTTCCAGACCCGTGAAGATTCGGGTTCGTAGAATGAACCTTCAGTAACCCATGCTTGTTGCAAGAGGCGACCAACGGGATGGGGCGGTCAGGCTCGGTGACTTCGTTGACATATGAAATCGGTTCCCAATTGCGTAGACCGATGCTCATGCTGTTGATCACTGGATTGGCTGGTCCTGACTCGATTATTTACAGACCACCGCCATATAACTGGAATATTGCTGAGTGCGGCGTAAAACTAAACTCACTCACTCACAAGCTTCCAATGAGTGAATTAACATCACATCGACAATATACCTGCCATATCGTGACGACAAAAGTCATACACAGTGATATGGATAAATATGTTAATGCTGTCAGTGAAGAACAGTATAACAACTAGATTATCCAGATTAATGAACACAAGCATGAGATCTGTTTAAAATGCTAGATCGGTTGTCAACTATACAATATAAAATCAAGCTTTTCATCACCAGCAAATGAAAGTAGATCACCATGCTTGAGGCCACAATGTTTGGGGCCACACCTCCATGGATTTACATAATTTTGCACGAATTTTGTATTAGTCACACTTGCTCAGGTGTAATGATTTCTTTATTATCTATTTTATTCATGCACATTTGTGCACTAAAATACGGTAAGCAAGTGACATCACAGACGACGAAATACAGAAACAATGGTTGCTAGGCAAAAGTTATATGTGCACATGTGCACATATGATATATATGACACTGGTTATGTTTCACCATATGGATAATATATTCACTGTATGGCATCAGAAATGTCGTCACAGGTTTTCGAGCGCTTCATCATCATGAATTGCGTTACCAGTTTTTTCAAAACAGTTCACACTCCAGGTGGTTTCGTGTTTATATATCAATGTGAACATCCCCTGTTGGTTGTTTTACTATGACCTTTCCATAGAATGGTTTTTTAACCCTGAACAATATTTGCATAATGTAATAAATGAAGTTACCAGATATGTTTATAATTTATTCCGATTTACAGTCATCCTAAAATCGTTAAACGATGCCACAGGAGCACGTCTCTTCATATCCAGGCGACCAACACTACCCCTTTTGTGGCATTGATTAAATCCATTCATGTACATGTCACCACTATTTGGTACAGTGTCAAAGTAAACCATAACCATTATAACATTGTTGCATTATGACCACTTTGTCCGTGTAGGGTAATCAGCATGGACTGTTGAAAGTTGTTCCATTTGGCTAGAACACACAGAATCTATACTAGATATTCACGCTGCAAATGTACATTATATCAAACATATGACATATGTTTACCTATGATGTAAGTATGTAAAAAGACGATTACATGTAACATCAACTTTTACTGTACATGATTCTTTACAGGGTTCAAACCGTAAGAGAGCCCTCCCCTTCAAGAACTGAGAGCAAAAAGCAAACTCCTTTAGTGGAAATGAAAATCAACCAAGAAATCTACATGATGAATGATACCGAAATAAATGATATCAATTATCATGCGTCTGCAACAGCTTCAACGATGACCCTTGTTAACCCCCATACGGTGTACACACTTAATGGAACAATCAGAGTGAAGATTGTACTGTTTGACCACAAGCAGAGACCCAAAACCCGAGGTGGAGACATGCTTATCTTATGGATGCGAGAAAATAGCACAGGAGCTGCTTCAGCAGGATCTGTTACTGACCATGACAATGGGACATACACAGGTATTCTGCGCATCTTGTGGACGGGGCAAGCTGTCATCCGTGCAGCAATACTGTGTAAAAGAGAAAAAATGGCTTTCATGCACAGGGAATTCAGGAAAGGATATGTTGGAAAGAACATTACATGCTTATTTAACACACCAAAATTAGCTGAGGTCACTTCAGGACACATGGATCACACATTTCTGAGAATTGGACAAGTTTGTAATCTAACAGACAAACATTACGGTGTTCCATTGTATTGTGAAAAACCGAAGAAGAACGGAATTCACTGCAGCCACTGGACAAGCATCAATTCAATCCCGTTTGTGAGGATGACACTAAAGCCTAACAGCGAATGGTTTTTGAGGTAAGTATAAATATGAGAATTAGTTCTAATTTAGATAGAGGAGCTGAACCGCATTTGTTCATGTAAGGACATATCAAATAATGCCACTCAAGGCCTGTATATTAACTGAGGAAGAAATCTCCCAAAATTATGTATTAGTACTATTAACTTTTTGGTTGTCCATTACCTTTGTACTGGGTTTTAATGATCCATAAATGTGTTCCACACAAACCCTGTCTTACATAATCCTAAATACAATTAAGGGACATTTTTTTTTAAATAGCGTAAAGGATCTAAGACAATTAGAATTGATGCGATATAGATTATCAAAACGTCAATGGACTTATTTAGTGAGTCTTTACAGTCTCAGAAAGGAACCAAGCTCAATTCTGTCAAAATGTTCGACTGTACAACTTTGTACACCACTACCCAACATGGCATAAGGTAAAACTGCATTTGTCTATCTGAAGAGCCTCAACTCGCAAACATGATAGCAAATGTAATCTGAAGCTTGCTAAGAAATTAGTATGTGAAACACTGGACGTCCGTTTAATATTTTGTTGTAAGATGTTTTGCTGAGAAGTAGGTATCTTAAGGGACACCAGTTGTGCTCACTTTCTTGTGGACCCGTTCTCTTCGGATACGAATCAAAACTTCTGCTTGGACGGGAAAGTCAATGAAATGTGACAGAGAAGTTAACTGTACTCTTCGTTAGATGTCGTTGATCTGATATCATTCAAGAGCCAATTCCAAGCCAAGCCAAGGATAGACTCGTCTGAACTAGAAATAACAGAAATAACGTGATTATCAAATTACACAGTAATTCCTGCGTATAAACTGGCACTGTAGGGGATCCATCATTCTTGTTCATCATGACTTCCATTACACACACCTAAAATTCCTGTATAAACAAATGTCTTAATGGCGATACGAGCATCTTTTATTGATATGAAACCTTCCTCTGCAATTTCAGGTCAGCCGGCCCAGGTGCTTTGCAAGGCAATATCACAGTACAAATTCATTCTGGTTTGTATGCAGCACCTTTAATACCTATACATAACTCATATTCTGTATGAGTGTTTTTGGTAAATTGCCTATTTCTATATGAAATCAATACCCTTATACAATAGCTCACCTGTATAAGGGGTCAGCAAGTAGAAAATCTCCACAAATACGCATCAATACTTGCTGTTAGTAATTATTTGGAGGACACATTTACTTCTTCTAAACAGACCAGAAAAAAACAACACGTAATGAAAATTGGCGACTTGACAAACTAGACTGTCGGGGTAAAGTAGATTCAATAATCTCCAAAATATTTAGTTTCAGCCAGATATAGGCGGCCAAATCATAAGATTATGCGGGTGAAGGAAAATAACCTTAAATTCTAACGTACAAGACTAATTAAAGACAAGGCTGACGGATATGAATCATAAATTGAGGTTGTATTATGTGATAACACTGAATGATCTGAAGGGGTTATAAATACACTTATCAAATGCATTTGAGCAAAATTGAAAAAGAATTTCGAAAGACAATGCAAAAGGAAATGAGCTCGAGTGAAACACTCTTAGATGAAGTAAGTTGAAATGTGGAAATACAGAGCAACGTGTTGTTGCCTTTGAAGAAAAAATCAAAACAAACTTTAAAATCAACAAGAAACTGTGTACACTAAGACTGAGGCATTATCATTGAAATTCGACGGACTGGAAGATCAACTTGAACAGTAACCCGACATAGTGTAAAGGTTAACGTCCACACTGCCGTTTATTACAGGCCGTCGTCATATATTTGGAATATTAGCTGACTCCCGCGGTGAACAACAAACAAATACACAAAATATCCTATTATCAATGTTTCAGCCCCAAACGCAACCATGTCTTCAAACAACCCTTGCAGCAGGACACACTTCCGGAACACCTGGCTCTCAAACCCTGTTGGTTTCTTTTACAACTCTACGTGGCGCTCCCTATCGTGTGTTAATGATATAACTGCCAAAGACTTTGACCGCTGCTTAGCAAACAGAACTCTTAGAATGTTTGGTGATTCCACTGTCAGACAGTTGTTTACTTTCTTGTTCAAATATCAGAATCTTACTTGGAGAATAGGACCAAAGGAAACTCACAGCAACTTTATACCAACGAGCAAATGGTATTCCTATTCCGAGGCATACAACAAGAGGTTTAACTATACTGTCTTTTGGTCCCCCCATGGCCTACCCATGTCGTTTGAAAATGCCAACAGGACTGCGATTCGACCATGTTTTGTCCATCTAGACGAAATACCTTCCGGTTCTAGAGATATTGTTCTCATTAATCTTTATGCCCATTTTCATTTTTTTCCTCTACACGTGTTTAAGGCTCGAATGAAGCACATCAGACTAGCAACAGAGAGACTACTGATACGATCACCCGATATAAAAATTGCCATTAAAGGACCCCACTATTTTATTACACATGATGCGCATTACACGTTAGGTGGAATATGGGGACCTGTATATGATAAAATTATCAGACAAGAATTTGTTTCTCTTTATGCCCGTGTCATATACCTAGATCTTTGGGGCATGCTTGTTTCTGTTGAGAATTCTGACATTCATCCTTCTGAACAATTGTTAAAGACGATGCTTCGCACTTTGTTCGGATATGTGTGTACCAAATGAGTATAATCACCGGCCATATAAATTATCATACATTGGACGTATTCCAAATTGTGGCGTTATACAAGTAAAGGACTTATCCGCATTACTTTTTTTCATTTTTTAGCAATAATTTGGAATATAAAGTGCTAGATATAATATAATAGTATATGGTTGGTTGCAAGAATACACTATGTCTGTACATTCATAAACATAGCAATATCAAGACTCAAAATTGTCATATTTGGTTGTGAGTCAAAGACAAACGGACAACCTTTTATTTATTCATGGTGAGTCGACTAACGGGATTGGGTGGTCCGGCTCGCTGACTAGTCTAGTGGTTAAAGAGTCCGCTCGTCACGCCAAAGAGCCAGGTTCGATTCCCCACATGGGTACAGACCCGTGAAGATCCGGGTTAGAATTGATCTTCAGTAATCCATGCTTGTCGAAAGAATCGACTAACGGGATTGGGTGGTCAGGCTCGCTGACTTGGTTGACGCATGTCATCGTATCCCAATTGCGTAGACCGAGGCTCACGCTGTTGATCACTGGATTGTCTGGTTCAGACTCGATTATTTACAGACTGCCGTCATGTAGCTGGAATATTGCTGAGTGCGGCGTAAAACTAAACTCAACCGCTCACTCAATCCCACATGGGTACAATGTGTGAAGCCCATTTCTGGTGTCCACCTCCGCGATATTGTTGGAATATTGCTAAAAGCGGCGTAAAACTAAATTCACACACTCACACACACTTATGGTGATTCTCAACTGGAAACTATCATTTCTTGACAGTACTTGGGAATACATTTTACAAGAACAAAAAATTAATGAGAGAACTCATTTTTCAATTCGAACATGGGTATGGAAGCAAGATTTACATGCAAGTTTATACAAATGGTAGACACCGCGTACATAAAATCATACGTCCATGTATGTGTCTCTTTTGGGACTGGGTCGGTGGAGTAGCCTAGTGGTTGAAGCGTTGGCTTGTCACGCCGAAGACCCGGGTTCGATTCCCCACATGGGTACAATGAGTGAAGCCCATTTCTGGTGTCCCCCGCCGTGATATTGCTGGAATATTGCTAAAAGCGGCGATATACCATACTCACTCACTCTTTTGGGACTTATTGCTTATTCTTCATTCACCCACCAGGATCTAAGAGGCAAACAACGATGTTGTTCATTCTCTGACCATATGCTTTCCATACACGTCTGTAATGTCCAGTTATCTCCAACCTCTGAAATGATGATGTTCAAAAAACTTGGAATATAATAAAAGTCCATTCTTCAAAAGCCATGACAGACTTGTGTGGTTTCTTGGATATAGTTCTTTCTGTACGAACTAGTCCATTCCAAACCATTTCAAAACTGACTGTGTGATCTTAGGTGTCAGAATCAAGGTATTTATGGGTGGGTGAAATTTAGGTTTCTCACACATACCTGTCTCTTCATGACCGAAATTTCACTAGTTAAATGAACAATGTTACACTCATGCGTTATTGTTTTTCTTCTTGGGTCTTTGCTTAAATGAGACATTTTGTATCTTGTAAATTATTGCTCATTTCCGAATTGTTCCTAGTCTATTACAGTGAAAGAGCTAGTTCGTTTTGTGCATATTCGGGGCTCTACAGTAATAGTTGTTGATATACCGGTTCCTTTTTAGGAGCAAGGTAGGGGAAATAAACAGAATGTGAAATCCATCTCCAATATCGTGTACAAAGCACGTTTGAATTACAAAGAAGACTTAATCTTTCATTTGGGGGTGTTTTGATCCATCGTCAAGTTTCTACCGGACGGTAATGGTTTGAGGTTCTGAGATTATGTTACACCCTCTGATTACTTTAGTTATAAATAATAATAAATTTTGATAGGTTTCATATTTCAATTCAGAATTTAATTTTTTTTATTATAAATAGCTCCTCTTGAATATTTTTCTGTGTTTGATATCCAAGCCTGTAGATTAAATTCTTTCAGTCTGTTTTCAACGTGTGTTTTAAGACTATATTATTTGCATATGCCTATGTAGCCGAAATATTACTCTTTCCAATTTATAATCCATTTATAGCCAGATGCTGCAGATTGTATCATTATAGAGTAATTTGTAAATAAGGAGATACAATTTAGAAGCCCTTCGTGAAATGAGTTCCCCCTAAAGAGTAACATTCATGATTTAATTTCAATTTCCAGTGGAAATCTCCCCAGTTCCCCATAAACCACGAATGAAGTGGTGCATTTTCTCAACGAGACTAGTTCCTTTAGAAATTGTAAATGAATATTTTCTACCCAAGAATTATTCCCAAAACCCCATAATTCACACCCACAAAGAAGAACAGGGGCGACTTAACAATCGTAACTGACAATCAAAAGACAAATAATGAACCTTTGCTTAAACCAAAGTACATAGTTTTGGTGGCCTTCTCAGATAGTTTCTATTTTGTAAAAGTAAATCTATTATGTTGTGCATAGTAATTCCTAGGTATTCATAACCAGGCACTTTGAAACAGTATTTATAATCATTTTTTGAACCACCAAATATAAATATATTTGTTCATGGATACATTTAGATTAAGTCTCAATGTTGTACAATATTCATAAAATCAATCTAACATATGTTGCAAATCATTTGGGTCTGATGCTAGTAGAACGATGTCGTCGGCATAGAACAGAACAAATAGATTTATCATAGTTTCTAATCGGTCGTTAAAATCATCTGAATGTAATTCGACTCTTTAACTGTTGTCATTTGTAGATTATATTGAAGATCATTCAGAAACAGTGTAAATAGTATCCAGCAAGGTCAGCGGCAAGGCATATCTAGCTAGCTCTGGACAACGTTCGGCAGTTCGTGTTTGTTCACAGAATAAAACAGTGAAACTATATCCCCTGTGTTGTCGTACTTCCACCCTTAAAGATAGCAATATCAAGACTCAAAATTGCCATATTTGGTTGTGAGTCAAAGACAAACGGACAACCTATTATTTACTCATGGTGAACTGCGGTGGGGTAGTCTAGTGGTTAAAGTGTCCGCTCGTCACGCCAAAGAGCCAGGTTCGATTCTCCACATGGGTACAGACCCGTGAAGATCCGGGTTAGAATTGATCTTCAGTAATCCATGCTTGTCGAAAGAATCAACTAACGGGATTGGGTGGTCAGGCTCGCTGACTTGGTTGACGCATGTCATTGTATCCCAATTGCGTAGACCGAGGTTCACGCTGTTGATCACTGGATTGTCTGGTTCACACTCGATTATTTACAGACTGCCGTCATGTAGCTGGAGTATTGCTGAGTGCGGCGTAAAACTAAACTCAATCACTCACTCAATCCAACATGGGTACAATGTGTGAAGCCCATTTCTGGTGTCCACCTCCGCGATATTGTTGGAATATTGCTAAAAGTGGCGAAAAACCATACTCACTCACTCTTTCCGGATTTCTTGCTAATTCTAAGAGGCAAACAACCATGTGTTCATTCACTGAACATATGCTTTCCATACACGTCTGTAATGTCCAGTTATCTCCCCTGCGATATTCAAAACTTGGAATGTAAGTCCATTCCAAACCATGACAGGTATTTCTAACAGTTTTTTTGTAGAACTACATCCAATATTTCAAATGACTGTGATGTTAAGTGTCAGAATCAAGGTATTTATGGGTGAAATTTAGGTTTCTCACACATACCTGTCTCTTCATCACCGAAATGTTCTGTTGGATTTCCCAGCGAGTCCGGATTCAGCAGCTGCATCTCAAACTGTATAAAGTTGGGCTGCTCCACAAGTGGGGTGGGGCGCCCTGGCTGGCAGGTGTAGCTGTCGGCATAGATGATGTGCCAGATGCGGGGGCGAATTGAGTGAGCGACGGTGAAGGTGCCGGATGTTGTATTCAACTCGTCTGAAAAAGAAGAACATGGAGTGTGTCTGGGGTGGATTGAAGTCAAGTGAACAGGGGTTAAAATTTGAGACAAGATTATTACACTTGCTGTGCCTATTTAGCGATATGAGTGTATGTATGCGTGTGGCTTGTAGACCTAGACTAGACTAATGCAGATGTTAAAGTCCTCAACCACCTAGATTTCATCTAATTAAAATAACGTTCTTCCTTAATAAACAACATTTGCATTTAACATATTTTAAATTCCTACGTTGTTTCTGCATATTTACATTGAAGTTGTTGCAAATTCCTAATTTGTAACCCAGATTTGGCGCTTCTCTCCAAGTGACGGCCTGACAGGGACAAGAAAACTTCCATTGATTGCGTTTAGTACATCGAACGTTGCAACCAACTAGGATTTATATAACCCGTGAAGACCCGGGTTAGAATTGGTCTTCAGTAACCCATGCTTGCCGTAAGAGGTGACTAACGGATTGTCTGGTCCATTATTTACAGACCACCCCTATCTAGCTGGAATATTGCTGAGTGCGGCGTTAAACAACTAACCAACCAACTAAAATTAGGATATAACCCTTCTTTTTAACAATTAGGATATAACTGTCACATATTGTGTCAAATTGGGATATAACGGTCTTATTGTAAACTTGTATGTAACTCTTATTGTAAATAACTTGGGTATAACCGTAACCATTAGGATATAATTGTCACATATTGTGACCAATTGGGATGTAACTGTCACTTGGTTTGAGCAGTTAGGATATAATTGCCACGTATTGTGACAAGTAAGGATACATTTGTCGCATTGTAAGATACAAGGTAAAAGCTTATGTAGAGTGTTACTACCTGGTATATAACTGACATGATTTAACCAACAAGAATGAAATGCTAAAACCTTTAAATAAGTAGAATGTAACGGTTACTTGGTAAACTGACTTGATTATAGCGGTCATAGATTGTGACCAACTCGGATATAGTTCCTATAGTGTAACTAATGGGATATAACCAACAAGGAAATAAGTAAAGTTTTCAATATCGAGAAAACACATGCCATCTCTTCTTGTAATTTTACAGAATTTACTGGATTCTGATCTGATTGCCATAAATTGTTTGTTTGATTGATTTGAACTAAGAATTTGCTTATTATCTTAATAACACACACACACACACACACACACACACACACCAAGAATATACTGTATAACAAGGACATCATTTGTGCCAACGAGGGAGTGGCTGCAGCAAAGATAAACGTGTCATGCTGTTGGAGCATGTAAGATATAATTTGTCACACAGTCTAAAAAGCAAGGATAAAAATATAAAAGTGCTACATACGTGATATTACGCTTGCTTTGTTTGTTGTTGAACGCCGCACTCAGCAATATTCCAGCGATACGGGTACAGATAATGTTACCGGTACAGATTGTGATACTGCTACAAATTGTGATATGGGCACAGACTGTGATACGAGTACAGATAATGTTACCGGTACAGATTGTGATACTGCTACAGATTGTGATACTGATATTGATAACAAATTATGTGTGGAATGCGGAAGTTCTCTGCCAGATTTGGCAAGTTTTAATGTGTGTCAGGTATGTCTGTCATCCAAAAGGCACGTTTAAAAAGAAGTAGAGCTAGAGATGCAATGTACAAACAGGCTGGACTAATGACAAAGTGTAGCAAGTTACTTTTAGGGTTACCACAAGCTGGAGATACAGTGTACATTAACATTCCAGGGTTCGATCGAGGCAAGGGGGACAGGAGAAACTTGATTGGGTACATTCTAGACGTGAACGATGACGATTCATGTAGTATCGCCACTGGACATGGTCAGTTGGAAGGACGATACCAGACAAACCATTTTAGTATTGCCAAACAACGACTTCTTAGTGAATCTGATGTGTCAACTGTGAGTACCATTACACTAAGAGAAGCTGTGAGGAAAGAGTCATTGTTTGTTTGTCAGGGCATGCAGAAATGCAACTGTACATCAAATGCAAAGTGTGTAACTTTGAGATGTAAGTGCAAACGAAGTAGGAGAAATTGCACAAGTCGTTGTCATAATTCCAGTTCATGCTCTAATAAATAATCCACATTTATCATGTCTTCCAGTTTTCATGTAATATGAATATGTAATCAATCAATTTACTCTTCTGTGTATGTGAGGTGAGACAATAAATTTTTGATGTGTATTCTTATTGTTTCATGTATTAGGGAGTAACGCTACTGCCCACTATAAATTTCAGGCAGTATCCTTATTGACTAACCTTAGGCATCAGTTCTCTTATTGACTAGGCAGTACCTTATTGACTAGGCAATAACGCTACTGACGGCGTTTCCTTATTAACATATACACACATTCCCACGAACTATTTCATGCAAATATGAAAATATTTCATTGATCACAGAGCGACATGAAACGTTAGAGCATGTCCGTAATTTCACGAAAAATATATAATAATATACAGAGTCAAAAAAGAAACTTAACAAAATGTAATTTGAAAAATAATGTATAATTTGTCTCTGATGATACGTCTATGTATCCGAAATGGGATCCCTATCTTTCGACTCTAGAAAAACGTTAGCAAAACCCACTCAAACCCATCCATTCGTCGTGCAAATGACGTTAGTGCCAAATCAGGTTTTGCACGTGCAGTCTTTCACGTGATCTTCGCATCGAAGTTTTCTTCAAATGCACGTGTTTGCATTGGCCTCAAGAATTGACAAAAACACTTTTAAACCACAGTTCTAACGGTACTTGAAATGCCACGATTGTCAAATGTGCAACGTGAACGTGCCGTTGGCATGTTGCAAGCGGGAGGATCAGTTATGGTGGACGTCGCAAGGGCAATGGGATGCAGCCGTCGTACTGTGTATGACTTGCGAGGTCGTCTACAACAAACTGGCACCACTTCTGATCGCCCAAGGTCGGGTCGTCCACGTGTGACGTCACGAGCGGAAGACCGTCAAATCGTCCTACGTCACCTACGTGACAGATTTCTGCCGGCTACACGAACCAGGGCTGAGATGTTTAGAGGTCGACTGTCCTCACAGACCATTCGAAATCGGCTGCGGGCTTCCATTCTCAATTCTCGACGTCCACATCGTGGGCCAATATTGACGCCGTTTCATCAACGTCAACGTCTGCTGGGGGCCCAACGTCACCTCCGATGGACCCAGAGAGAATGGAATCGAGTCGTCTTTAGCGATGAATCCAGGTTTATCCTCAGATTCGCGGCAGGCATAGAGTCTGGAGACGACGTCGTGAACGGTATGCCCAATGTTGTGTACAGGAAGTCGACAGATTCGGGGGCGGAAGTTGCATGGTGTGGGGTGCTTTCTGTGGGAACAACCGTTCCCGACTTCTGGTCATCCGTGGAAAACTCACAGCTGCTGCTTACCGCGACCAGGTGCTCGTTCCTTTCATGGCGGCTCATGGCCCAGGTCTACAGTTCCAGCATGATAATGCTCGGCCGCATACCGCGATGTTGACACGTAATTTCCTTCAAAACGCTGGAATCAACGTCATGGAGTGGCCATCGAGGTCCCCTGACCTTAATCCAATAGAGCACGTTTGGGATGCACTTGGGAGAAGGCTTCGTGGTCTTAGGAACCAACCTCAGAATTTGCAGGAACTTGGCGCTGCCTTGCAAGAGCAATGGCGCAGAATCCCCAACCACGTGTTCACAAGCATCAGGCAGTCGATGAGGAGACGGTGTTTGGCAGTGGTGAATGCGCGGGGCGGCCATACACGATATTGAACTGAGAAATCTCGCATTTTTATTCTTGTGACTTGACATTCTGTGTACCCATGTTTTGGAACGGCGGTGTAGCCTAATGGAACTGATTATGGCACTGTCAGTGTATCGAGTACATCACACAGATCTCAGCAATGAAATAATAACAATTTAACCATCTTACCATCTCTTGTTCTTTTATAGTGCCCTGAAGAAAGAATGTGAAGTTTCTTTTTTGACTCAGTATAGTAGTTTAAGAAACAACTTACCTTTGAAGTTTTTTGCAGCCAAGTATGAGTATGACCTCGTGATTCGTTTTATACGGACCTCTCCATCAACAAACCTTTGTGTGTTGATGGACAGTTTTAACCACGGCAATGAAGATATAGGGACTAATTTCTGGAGCAATGCTGGCACATTTGTATCAATTAGGAGAAATGCAATCCGCACTGCCATTGGTTTAACACACATGGGCACTAACAAACAAACCCCCTGAAGTATTATCATTCTACATAGACTGTCACTTACTACACAAGCGCAAAAGTGCAATTACGCGAAATATTTTGACCTTTGGAAATACCGCGTTGTCGGATTGTTGTCCTTGATAAAAGTAAAAAAGTAGTAATCTAAGTATGAAAAATTGTCTACATGGGGCAATGGGGCCCTAATTTTGGATAGTTATTTGGCGTGTAGTTGTTAGGACTACAAAGAGACAATGCCCCTTCTAGGATTCGAGTATTACCTGCTGAACATTCGGAACAAGAACACCAGGTGTCTTTTCAGATGACACCCGAGACAATGAAAGGAAAAGAATGAAACCCCAAAGTGGTTTATCAGATATTAACTTTATGTATTTATAAATACTTACAATAATTTATTCAAATAATCCATGTCATTGTCGGAGTCAAAAGTTCATCACCAGCACGCATGAACACCCCCCTACCAGCCAGAACTGCATGTACGTCTGTATTGGTAGCTATGTATTAGGAACCGTGAAGATCCGGGTTACAAATGGTCTTCAGCAACACATGCTTGTCGTTAGATGCGACTTACGGGATCGTGTGGTCAGGCTCGCTGTCATGTCACCGGTTCCTAGTTGTGTAGACCGATGTCCGTGCTGAATATCAGTGGACTGTCTGGTGCAGACTCGATTAGTCACAGACCGCCGCTATATAGCTGGACTATTACTGAGTGCGGCGTTAAACTAATACAAAAAGATATGTATTGTAGACGAAGTTAGTTTAGGAAGGGAGGTAAATCTTAAGTTGACTATTGAAGTATACACATGAATGTCACCAACTTGTCTGTCTTACTTGGAATATCTAAAAAGAGCAACGGTAACAAATTGTCAACAACCCACTCTTTCTTCAGTGCTGTGGCTGTTGCTAACGTGATCGTAGGCGTTGATCCCGCAAATGTTCTTGAGGTTTAGATTTGGAGAACTTGGGCCATTACTGTACTTAGATGTTGTGGTTCTTCAGTTTTTGTCAGTTTTGCTGTATGAAGTCTTGCGTTGCCGTGTTGAAAATCGACGCTTGCTTGTTGCATAACGGGAAGGGCGTATGGCTGAAGACTTCCGTAACGCCCTAAACTTTTAATTGCCCTGGACGTGGACAAAGTATGTTCTTCTGAAATGTGAGATGGCGAAACAGGGTAGAAAAAAAACGTGACTCGTCTAGCCAAACACGTCTCCATCGCATTTGTGGCCTTACTCTGTGCCCTTGACACCACTGGCGTGGCTGCTGACGATACTGATCAACGAAGATGGACTCGAACTGGTCGTCTCGGCCAAATACCTGCGCTGACTAGAGGCTTCTTCACTGTCTGTGCTGAATGCGCATCCTGGTACAGCTACAGCTGTAGAGGTGGACCTGGTGAGTCTGTCACGTAAGTGATGAACCCGCTGTAATTGTGACATGTGGTTGACCGGATCTAGGGAAATATGGAGTCCACGTGTTGACCTCTGTGTCTGATAATAGTTCAATAAACACGCGGAAAATCTTGGCTCCGGGCGAAACCAAAAAGCCGGTCTTGAGTCAACTGATGGCGTTGTTGCGTTGAGCATCGGAGCATTGTTTTCTTTTCACTTGATGTGCAATTGTGATGACAGACAGATGAAAACCCATCGTTTTGGCAGCTCATCAATTCACGTACATGCTGGTGTGTTTTGGCGCCACGCTGCCACGTGGTTTCCTTTGTTCCGAGTACCGCATATTTTAGGTATTTCTCGGTTGTACACTGTTCTACACGCACACATCACTCCCGATGCATGCATACATGAGAAATTCATATTGGGTATTCATTTTGTATGAACATCATCAAACACCGTCAGATATTTCCTAATTTTCTAGTTTTGAGTGAGTGAGTTTAGTTTTACTCCTCACTCAGCAATATTCCAGTTATATGGCGGCGGTCTGTAAATAATCGAGTCAACCAGACCAGACAATCCTGTGATCAACAGCATGAGCATCGACCTACGCAATTGGGATACGATGACAAGCGTCTACCAAATCAGCGAGCCTGACCTCCCGATCCCGTTAGTCGCCTAACGTTAGCATGGGTTACTGAAGACCAATTCTAACCCGGATCTTCACGGGTCTTTTCATCTTTTCCTTTACAGAACGGGTATCATAATAACCTTAACAATGGAAGAGCTTCACGACAAATCATAAATGAATCATTTACTTCAGCGTCTGTGTTTCAACAATGAGCTACTTGGATACGAAATTTAATACATTAATAATAAATCTGGCCGTCATAATCAATGAAACATCCGTCATATATGGAAATATATTGTAAGTCGTACTTAACTTTTCGTCCGGTTGATTTCTTGAGTGAGTGAGTGAAGCTTTACGCCGCTTTTAGCAGTATTGCAGCAATATCACTTCGGGGGACACCAGAAATGGGCTTCACACATTGTCCCCATGTGGGGAATCGAACCTAGATCTTCAGCATAACGAGCGGACGCTTTAACCATTAACCACGCTACCCCATATATTTCTTGCCACAAAGACACACCACATATTTTAATAGAGCCGCTGTCAGTAGTAAATTGCCCGTTACAAGTAAATGCAGCCTTGAAAAAACATTTGAGCAAAACTTTACATATGTTATTAAAAAAAGGCACAAGGCTGAAAACTCTGGGTCCAAATCACAATTATACTACCCACAGCAAATACATAAACGGTAATACCTTTTTCCTGTTTCATTTTTAGCCACCTCATACAGGTGTATAATATCTCGTTCTCCACATTTTACAAGACTGCCTCCGTGGTGTAGTGGTTAGAGCGTTTGCCCGGAGAGCGGAAGGTCGCAGGTTCGATCCCCGACCGCGTCATACCAAAAGACGTTAACATATGGTACTTGTTGGTCCCTGCCTGGCGCTCGGCATTAATGGGTACAACAAGGACTGGTCGGCTCAGAGTCAGTATAATGTGTCTGAGTGGTGTATTCATGCTTCACTGCGGTATGGTATTGAAATATATTCAAGCACGACGTTAAACCAAATTTCACCTCACCTCACCTCCACATTTTACAGCGCTGAAAACTCTGGGTACAAATCACAATTATAATACCCACAGCAAATACATAAACGGTAATAACTTTTTCCTTTTTCATTTTAGACACCTCATACAGGTGTATATTAATATCTCGTTCTCCACATTTTACAGCGCTGAAAATGCTACGTTGTATTTCAGTTGAGATTATTACAAAGTAATTAGTACACTGACATCCAAGCCTTCAGGTGCTGTAGCAGAATTGGGTCTTAATTAAAGTTCCCGGTTATTCATTTACGAATGGTATGAAGTAACATCGTGGCCAGTGCTTCGGGGCATCAGTGGATTAGATTCAAAGGCTGTAATCAAAGTTAGGCGCTATCATAGTATTAAAATCACAGAAAGACAGGATATTTGGTATCTCAGGATTATGTACATATTTCGATTTTGATCAAATGCAGTATGAATAACCATCTGGTCTGCGCTCCATCTGTGTATATATAACCCTGGACTGTCCCACAGGGACCATTATACAGCGTCATCATTGCTAAATACGTTCTCCTTAGTCACATTCTTCAAGCTCACCACCTAACGCCATCATGAAGGTGTTGTTGACGACGTTGCTGATGCTGGGGAGTGTAGTTGCTGTGGTTGAGCTGGCCAGGGTCGAGTTTCCACAGGACGAGGAACTCACGAATTTGTATAACCAAATGACTGCCCTGGATCGACGACTTGTCCAGTGTTTACACGGGGAGAGCGAGAACGCTGAGGTTACAAGCGTCAAAGAGGAGGCCCTGCTGAGGAGCAGGAAGGGAAACATGCAAGATGGCGGCATGAAGGAGATGATGAAACAGATATTTCAAGCAAGGATTGACAAATTGACACAGGTCCTACATGAATGCGAAAGCACAGATACAAATGACGGAGTCACTGAAGCTACTCTCGCGAGAAGAGAGGTAGAAGACGACGACCTAGAAGAAGAAGAAGAAGAAGATGACTCCGGTGATGAAGAAGACGATGATGATGATGACGATGATGACGATGATGATGATGATGATGATGATGATGATGATGAAGACGACGACGACGGTGATGATGTCACTAAAAGAGACTCCGGTGATGAAGAAGACGACGACGACGACGACGACGATGATGATGATGATGATGATGATGATGAAGAAGAAGAAGAAGAAGAAGATGATGATGATGACGACGATGACGGTGATGATG